AAATCATTCCACTCTTTTCAAGCCATGCAACAAAAAGCAATAGCTTTCCAGAATAAAGACAATAAAAACTCATTCAAAATGGAATTGAATTTCAAATTCTGGAATGAATACATAAATCTTGAGCAATTCAAATAATAATCAAAGAAAAGAAAGTACTGAAGAGTTAGATAGAGCTAACTGTGATTCACAGCAAATACCTTCCATCAATTGCATCCATAATGTGACTCTGTCCATTTTGATCCACATCGATAGCAGAAATGAAATCCACACCTGTATCACACAAAAAAAAACCAAAACAAACACATAATAATTTGAATATGATTTAATTTCACTTATGGTCATCTTTTGTAAACTATTAAACGTAAATTATACTCCTGAGATTTTAAAAATACATAATTATTCTCGCACTATTAACGTAATTATACCGGATTATATTGAAATTTTAATTCACATAATACTTATATCATTTTTCATATGTAATACGTAATTTTTGTAACAATCAAATTATCAAAATGTATCAATATCATATATCAGAAAAAAATTGATATTGTATCAATCAATAGGATAAATATTTAAAACCATGTATCCTAACCTAGAAGTTACCTGCAAGTAATGTGCAAACATCCTTCATCTTTTTCAACATAGAACTTGCAATTGGGACACCTCCTCCATTTCTTCTTCTTAGCAAGCTCCATTGCCATCAAATCTTCACTCTCTCTCTCCCCCTTGCTCAACCCCTGAAACTCAACACACTCCATCCCATCATGCCATGAAACATTGCATTGAGCACAAAACAATCTTCTACAATTAGGGCACTCAGACACAGTCACAACTTCACCACCATCATCAACCAACACTGCAGAACAGTCCTTAAAAGGACAGTAAAATTTCTGAGAAGCAAGAATGATTGATTCACACAGCGCATTTTCCCACCGATCAAACACTAATTTGGGTATAATGAGACGACAGGACTCGGGCCTGCAAAACCCCTTCACAATTCAATTCTGGACACTTCACCATCGATATATTCTCTTGAATTTTCACTGCGACATGTTTGGCAATGCAGTCTGAGCAAAACAAATGGGTACAACTAGTGTTGTTTTCAAACATTTCTGATTTTATGGGTTTTCAATATTCACAAATTTTTTAGCTTATAATCTGGCTTTGTTGTTCATTTGGTAAATAAATTTGGAATTGTTTTCTTTATTGAGCGATTTAAAAGGTTTGATTTATCATTTGGGTTTTCAAGTTTATATGTATTTTTTGGTTTTTTGTTGGTAGTTAATTGTTAGCCATTAATGCTCTGCTCAGGGATTAGATTTATAAATAGGGATTCAATTCTGGTGATTTGTGCTTCATTTCCTCATATTGAACAAATATTTGGAAAAAAAAAATTCAGGAATAAAAAAATTTGCTATTTTATTTGAACAGAAATTTCGTAAATATATTTGGGTTTACTTTATTTGAGTTAAGAAAGTGAAAGACATTGATCTTGTGAGTACAATGAAATTTCTTAAATATATTTGGCTTAGGTATCCTTCTGTTTCTTCAACTAGCACTACACCAAGAACATGAAAGAAATGACATTATCAATGTTTTATAAGACAAAAAATTCTGAATACTGCATTTTATGAAATCGTAAACAACTTCTTAAAATATGCTGCAAAAGTCCATTTCTAATCAAATGAAGGTGGAACTTTACTAAACAGCATTTGGATGACTTTAAAATCCCGGTATAATGTTTGTAAATATTTTACTCATGACTAAATCACAATGTGCAGATTAATACTAAATCGCACATTGTGAAAGCTTTTCAGACAACTAAATTTAGTTGAATGCCATCAAAATCTAACCGGTGCATTGCCAAATTGTATCAATTGACCAGCACAAACAATTTTAGCAGAATCAAAAACCAAACACAACCACCAAAAACATAAACCAAATGATCAAATTCCATCAAATCATTCAAAACTCTGTAAAAGCAAACATCAAATTCTAAGTCACATAACCGAATTGCTGCCCACAACTAATACTAAAGCCCAAACTGTGAAATCTTTTCATACAACTAAATCTAGTTAAATTCTCATCGATGTCTGACTAATGCACTGCCAAATTGTATCAATTGACCATCACAAACAATTCAGAATAAAAAACCAATTCAAATAGAATACCCTCAATAGCACACCAAATGATCAAATTCAATCAAATCATTAAAAAATCTATGAAAGCAATTGTCAAATTGTAACTCACCTCACTGAACTGCTTCCCACAAGCCTCCCGATTCCCACAAAACACCCAAGAATCACACAAACAAGGCCCATGATTCCCAGTACACATGGCCTTACAAGCCTTACAACACTCCTCAGAAGAATTGAACTTGAATTCATAACCCCACTTCACAGCAGCCCCCCACAGCTCCAAAATCTCGATCCCTCTACAACACTCCCCACTCTCTCCCTCCAAATCACCCCCAACAAACGCCAAAGACTCTAAATTTGAAGAAACTTTGGTGGGTCTCAAAGCCATTGACGCAAACATGTAAACCACTGTACAAGAGATGAGCCCCGTCAAGAGGAGGATTAGAGAGGCCCAGCGAGTGGATTCGGAGTCGCTTGGGTTCCTACCCATTTGGGATTGAGACGTGATTCATTTGATTGTTAATGTTTATCCCTGGTAGACCAGTAGACAATTACTTATTTGCTTGGTTGTTTTCACAACATTGATTGACTTCCGCTGCCTAGGAAGCACGGATACGAATACGGGATACGGATACGAATACGATACGATACGGCGATACGACAAAATTTGAAAAACTAGGATACGGGTACGGCGGGGATACGTTTGTAAAAAATATTATTTTAACAATTTTTAGTAATGCAGTATGCATAAAAATAAAACTTAAAGCAAAAGACAACTTGATAAAGAAGAAAGATTCCTACAAAACTAAGAGTCTTCAAGGTCAATAGCTTCAACTTGTTCCCCTTCATCAGTGAATATCACAAGACCTTAGCTAAAGCCAAAGTCAAAAAACCATTCTTAAATAAAAATTTCAGCAAATATACTTTTTTAAGTCATCAATGATAGCCTAGGAAGCACGGATACGAATATGGTGATATGAGGATGTGGATATGGCGATATGTCAAAATTTAAAAAAATATGATACGGGTACAGCGGGGATACATTCATAATTTTTTTTTTTTGTGGTGATTTTAATAATGTAATATGCATGAAAATAAAACTTAAAGTAAATTAATAAATAAAGAGAGGGATTCCTATTAACCTAAAAGTGCTCAAACATTCATAAAACATCCAAAACTAAAAGCAAAAGCAAAAGCAAAAGCAAAAGCAAATGCAAATGCAAATGCAAATTAAACATCATCCTTACATGCTAACACTAAAAAAAGAATGAGAGCAGAGAAAAGAAATGTGAGAGAGTGAAAAAGCGAGAGAGAAGTGAGAGAGACAACAAAGATACATCAATTTGACAAATTCTATTATTTAAGCTCTCACTATATTCCTTTTATGAAATAATTAAACAAAATATTATAAGTAATATGTAACTTCGAGTATCCGATACTTCAAAATTAAGTATCCGATACTTCAAAACTAATAAAAAATTAATTAAGAAGTATCCGATACTTTTAAGAAGTATCCGATACGTATCCGCGAGTATCCAAGGAGTATCGGTATCCGATAAGTATCCGATACGGATACGTCACCCTTTTTGAAGTATCCGTGCTTCATAAACCAATTGTTATTGGAGAAAGAGTAACAACTTTCAGTATGCTTCGCGGCCAGAATTTGATATAGAAGTCACAATAAAATTATGTTTTGCGATGAACTGTTATCCTTCTCTCCTCATTTGCATTTGAACCCGTTCTTCTTGATACAGAAATTCTTGGCTTTGGTAATTAAATATGTTCCCCAAAATTGTATTTAAAACTAATGTCGTTACTTTGGTATTCGCATATAAATAAAATTTTGGTCTTCTTTTTTATATATAATTTATTTTGTACGGGTGTGTGCACATATTGGGACTTTATGTTTAGTAATACTCTCCAACAGTCCAACTTATAACAACCTTTAACCTCCGTGATATATATTTGTATTCATTGCTCTATTGCCGCCTTCCCTTGATTGTCAAATCCAGATACAAAACCTTGCGTTGTTCAAGTTGTTTATTTTCAGTATTTTTGTTCTTCCCGCTCGAGCGGGGACATTGACGCTCGAGCGGAGTTTGTGGTCTCCCAGTATTTGTGACAGGTCTGTAAAAGTACTGGAGTGCGTAATTTTGCGCTCGAGCGGGTGATGAAGTGCTCGAGCGGACCACTGTGTTACCACACGCGTATTTTGTTGAAGCCGCTCGAGCGGGATGTTGGGCGCTCGAGCGGAGATCGCGGATTCAAGTTAAAAAGGTCAAGATTTATAATGAATTTTTATTTTAATAATTAAAGAATGACTAGCTAATAATTAAAAAGGTTGAGGGAGTGAAAAGGTCAAGATTGTACTTAGGTTATTCATAAAAAAATAAAATCGACTAATTATGTTATGATTTGGATTGATTCCTTTGCTTCTGTGATCATCCTTGCTAGTTGGACTAGCCTCCTGATTCTTCTTGGATACCATGCCTGGCTATTTGAGGATCCTTGTACATGCCTGATGCTCTGCTACTGTCATTATTG